AAATTACTTTCCCGTATCTGCGCAAATTACTGTAGTATTTTTGTTCAATAAAAAGGCGCTATTAAACTACTTTCCCGCCGGAAAATGAAGCTTATTTTTCCTAAAGACTAATGCTTATTAGTTTACTTAGCGTAAATTAATTCCAAGGACAAAAAAGGACCATATCATTTCTTACCATTTTGAACATGTAAATCTTTTTCCAGTAACCTTTGTTGGCTCCCACAACCCTACRCGCTGCTGGTTCACCACGACATTGTCAATACATCCATAGAAAAAACGACGAGTTACATTTGGCTGAAAAACAGACGAAAAAAATACTTAWTATTATACGTTTGAACTGCTATTATTGGTCAATTATGTCACATGACATTTGTGTTAACCAATACTTTTCCCCCATTAATTTTCTCTTGATTTTCCATTAACCAATAGCATTTCTTCGGTGACGAGCATTTCTTCRCGTGACGAGCTAGTTAACCAATAGTATTTTTGCCTAGTCTCACGTGATCGTCGCTTTAACCAATCACRATGGCTTGTGAAACTTAGATACCCGTAATTGTTTTCACTTTTCTTTAGTATGTTTTCTTTYTTTAGCAGAAACGCGTTAAAAGAATTATGTATGCAGGTGTGACGACGGTTGTATCACAGTTTCTCTTACCAAAASGTCATTAGGAAGGCTACCAAGAAAGAAAGGACTCGATGACGTGATATTCATGTAATTTCTTGGTAAAATCTGATTGGTCGAACTCTCGTAAGTGCGGCTCATGTTGTTGAGGTAGTTGGTCACGGTAAGACGTGCCTTGTCCTTAGTYCTACAAACCAAATACAAAAAAAAGTGAATTGTACGACGCTGGCTATTGCCATACCACTGAAATGRCCTYMCAATGTTTCATTAGAATTCWTCCAATCAYACGCCTACAWAGTCTCCTAAGCAGACGCTGTWAGTGTCRTCACGCAACGTAGGGAAGTGAGCGTTGCGTGACGACACTAATAGCGACCGCGTAGTAGACTAACACTTACAATACTGCTAAAAAGTTGCCTTTTCCCATCCATATTAAAAAATCCTCCACTGAGCATATGCGTTTGTAAAATTCGTCTGGTTTTTAAATTGYATGTGGAGAAACTCACAAAATGCAAAGTCCAACAGTTCAAGGTAAGRAGGGCTAAGTAGTTTTGGCATCTGTTTAAGACTAGATGATATTTCCAGGAAGCATTTTAGCACTARGAAAAGCGTATCACATACCTGGACGCATATACTCGGTACCAGCTTCCAGTTCTGATTGGAACTGCGTAGTTTATGACAGATATCGGACCTGAACCAAGGTCAAAGGTAAAGCGAACATATTCATCATACACTATTGACAATAACATACTGCTACCCTGTAGGAAGAAAACATTACACAAATATATGTTAAACTACAGTTCTTTATTGAGTTTGATTTGCCAGTTCGAACCCCCTTAGTTATAACCCTGGATCCGTCCCTGGAATAGGGAAGGAGGGAAGGAGTGAGGGAAGGAGTGAGGGAAGGAGGGAGGGAGGGAAGGAGTGAGGGAAGGAAAGAGGGAAGGAAAGAGGGAGGGAAGGAGGGAGGGAAGGGAAGGAAGGGGCAAGGAGGAAGGCAAGGAGGGAGGGAGGCAAGAAGGGGGCCAAGGAGGGAAGGAGAGAGGAAGGGAGAGAGGGAAGGAGAGAGGGAAGAAAGGAGGGAAGGAGGAAGGCAAGTAGGAGGGGAAGGAAGGAGGGAAGGGAAGGAGGGAGGGAGGGAAGGGAAGGAGGGAGGGAAGGAGGGAGGTAATAGAAGAGCACTAGTAAATAGACTTGGTCAATTTTGCACTGTCGGTTTCCGAGATACTATGTTAAAAGCTGAAAAAATTGATGATGTGTAAGTTAAAAGAAATTATTAAATTTTACCRAGTCGGTCAGTCCCTCAGCAAGGTAAAGAAGTGGGCCTTGAATGACTTGGTTTCGTTCTGCTTTGAAGTCCAAAGAAATGTCATTGTAGAGTGTCTTCTTCGCWATCCGTCCCGTGGGGGTGTACTGTAGGGTGGTGTTGCCATGGATTTTCAGAGCGTGTTGAATCTAGCAGGRAAAAAAGTCAAAATGAAGAACAAATCAAAGGAAAATAAAAGTAAAAGGATTTTTCTTTAAAGATTAAAGTGACTAGCTTTTTTGATWGACTAACAACAACTTTGGCAGATAGTTATACCCAAAATAAGAGATCAGAAAGCAAACCTTTGCTATTCTCTCCTTTGCTTGCTCTAATTTTTTTCTCAGTCTGTCCATATTTGTTTCCAACTGTGTTTGCAGGTCAGCGGTTTTATTCTTTTCGAGCTGCACTTGAATWTTGCTCTGTGTCACATTTACCAACGCGGCATTTCCTCTAGCAACTGAAAAACAAATATGACTTGGAATAAGAACTGAACGAAATGATCATATTACTAAATGAAACAAAAACGGGTGTAAGTGGATGGAAGGATGGGAAAATGAGAAGGAGACAGTAGATTATTATTTTTAAGAAAAATAGAAATGATAATGGTTTTCATTCTTTTTAGTAAAACAAAAACAAAAACGAAAGAGGTGTTGGAAAAAGAAAAGAGATTTTCATCATGGTTCTGAATCTTTGTTTTCGCTGGTTGTTTAYTTCTTGGTATACTATGGAGAACTAAATCGAAAATTTACAGCCAGGATACCCCAAGATAAYCACGTACACCAAACAAAAACAGATTCTCAGTAGAACTCTTACTTGCTGCAAAGGCTTCAGGCATAAGTTGAYGCGCATGCTCAGACGATGCATTAATGTAGGCGATGGAAGAATTTAGCCTTGACACCTCTTGCTGAACAACCTTCGAGTTATCCCAAATAGAAGGAGCAACTTGATCAACATTCGATTTATAAGAAGCAGCATTTTTAAAGTCTGTGTAGATTGAGTGTTCTGCAGCTCCAAGCTCAGATAAACCAATAAGTCTGTTGCTTCTGGAGAGAAGGATATTATGGTACAGGTCGATCTGTCTGCCAATCAGAGTCGCACGTTGGAATGTCTCGTTTGCCATGGTAACGTTCTTTTGAAGACCTTGGAGGAAGGGAAAAAAAAGTATTGAGAAATTTTGGTAAAACTTAGTCTAAGGTTTTTATTCGATACCACAGATTTGTTCCGCGCGACTGTGAATTCTCGTAATGCGTACGCATCGACTAATCAGAAAGACAGAATTTATATAAAAATTTACAATACAGAATGAAGGCATTTAACCAGTGAAATAGATATTAGACTAATACACTTTAGTAAACCTTATGAGGTCCTTTTTGAAAATCATGATTATGAAAAAGTTATCTCAATAAAGGTTATTATTATAACCTTAATTCCATTGTTTCCTTTTGTGTCTATTTGACTATTACACGTTGACTAATATTTTTTATTTCACGGGTTATATGCCTTCACTCTAATATTTGAAAATAGCCAATAATTCAGGGAAACACTACATGCATAGGGAATAAGCGTATTGCACAAAGATGATTTCTTGCAATAATTTTCCAGGAAACGAAAGATGCATGATTTCTTGCAATAATTTTCCAGGAAACGAAAGATGCAATATACGATGAGATATTCAAGATAAGAGAAAAGCCCGCAAATCCCTGTTGCTAAAACAAGAAGTGAAATATATTCTCGATTTAAGGAATGAAGAAACAAAAATATTACGAGATCTCATAGGTAACTCTTTTTTACCTGCAACATCGATACTCCTAGCTTGAGTTTTATCGAGCAGGTCTCTGCTTTTGTTGTAACTGTCTTCTGCACTTTGYTTCACAACAGAAAACGATGAATGGAAATTATTTAACTGTAAAAGAATTGGAAAAATAGTTTAATTTTAACCTTTTCCATGCATTCTTATTTTCCAGCTTGTATCTTTCCAACTTCTTCTCCAATTCCTATATTTCATATCCCATTTTATCCCATTCACTTTTCCCACTCATCTACTCCAATRCTGATTTACTTACGCGTYCCATAATCTGTTGTARGGTCTTGTTTACTTTAGCAGTCGTTTCCAAGGACTGGTTGACAAGTTTTACAACAGATTCGTATTGTTTAATAGCATCTACGGCTCGCTTTGCGTTGTCTGCGATGCTGTCTAAAACACTGGTAGGAAAAATACAATATACATTTGATCATTTGTCATATGTTTTAGGTTCTCCGCAATTTTAAGATGTCTGAGGTGGGGGGAGGGGGGGCTTTGATTTCTGTCAACCAAGACCGTTTAAATGAAGGTGAGGTTAGCTTGTTGCTAGGAACAAGTCAGTGGAGTCCCTCTACCTTATGAGAGTCCCTCTACTTTATGAGAGTCCCTCTACCTCATGAGAGTCCCTCTAACACATGAGAGTCCCTCTGCCTTATGAGAGTCCCTCTACCTCATGAGAGTCCCTCTACCTCATGAGAGTCCCTCTACCTTATGAGAGTCCCTCTACCTTATGAGAGTCCCTCTACTTTATGAGAGTCCCTCTACCTCATGAGAGTCCCTCTACCTTATGAGAGTCCCTCTACCTCATGAGAGTCCCTCTACCTTATGAGAGTCCCTCTACTTTATGAGAGTCCCTCTACCTCATGAGA